CAATAAGCAAAAATCCTTCAAAATTCCATCGCATTCCTATACAACTTATTTACATATCTTTGCACCAGTTTCTCCCGTATCCCACGAGGAAAAGCGGAAATTTTCTAAGCAAAAAAAACTTTCGAATGTTGTCATTCCGTGATGAGCATGATGACGAGCTGTTGAAATTTGCAGCAACAAAGAGCGAACCTGAAACGAATGGGTAAATAAAATAAATAAATAAAGTCCCTATAAGCGGTTATCAAATGCGTAGTAAGCGTAATTATGCGCATGTACTCAAATCTTACAACTTCAAAAATTCCAGAAGCTCATGAAATTAATATATTTCGCCGAGTGAATCACTCCACATTACAATTCGTTACTTTCGCTCAGTAAACTCGTTTGGCCCTCGAACCTCATTCCTCTTCCAAGATTTCTTGTTTGCCAGGCTTTACAGATTCCTACCATACTTCCATTTCTCTACTCTTTCCTAGACTTCCTTGATATCTCCTCTTTCCTCCTTCTTTTACCTCACCTTTTGGTTTGGACCCCCTTTCACTCATCCCTGAGTTCCTGCTTTGCACTCTCCGGATTTCCATCGTTCCCTTCATTCCTGTTATACATACGATATTCCCCAAGCTCTCATCATTTTTTCCATTCCTGAAAATTCTGTTCGCTCTTACCTAGGATTCCCAACGTTCTCTCCATTCATGCGAAATGTCCTAAGATAATTATTGTTGTCTCCATTTTCGATACCCTGTTTGGTAAATTTCCCAGATCCCTCTCATATTCCATTCTCGAAATTTTCGATTGTCAACTTCCTAGGATTCCAATGTACCCTCCTTCTTGCTGCATCTCTCAAGATCTTCATCACTTCCTTCATTTCTAAACTTCAGGATCGCCATCGTTTCCTCCATTCCACAAATGCCTGGTTGTCGCATTCTCTAGGGATCTTATCATCCTCTCAATTATTGAAATTCCTTTTAGCTAGAATTTCCAGGATCCCGTCTTACCTTCTCCTAAAATTCATGCTTTTTGGAATCCCTCAGATTCCCGTAGTACTCTCCTTTCCTGAAACTTAATTTCTTTCAACCTTCCTCTTCAAAAGGTCATTAACGCAGGAATCAAATATGAATGAATTGAAATTTACTACGTTTGTAAACAATTATGCGCCTTGATTTTGACCCCTGTTTTATCTACGGATCTCACAGTGAGCTGCTCACGTGCTCATTTACTACCGTGGTTAACGTTGTGGCGGAATCTGAGGCCTTTTGATTCCTAGTAAAAGGTGCTCACTCTTAGTTTTTTTTTTTTGCTCAGTGATACGTTTTCCTTTCAAAGTTCGGGACTGACGAACGAAATGGCTGAATAGCTGCGTAGTGAGTAAAGTAAGGTGGGAAATTATTGTGGTCAATATGGTCTTTTTCCATTTCCTTCCTGACTTCTGGTAAAAAGATTTCAGATCCCCTTTCCCTTTGGCTTTAGGTGACAACCATGTGTGCGAAGATACATTGAATTTTGTTAACTAGTTTGCTTATTATCTATTGTTTCTCGAAATAAAATCGCAACGTTCTTCTTATCAAAATCAGCTTCAAACCTGCACGAAATCTAGGTTTTGCTATCGAGAAACGTCTTTCTAAGGAAAGCAATCCTGCGAATACTGGCTATATATACGTGCAACATTTTTCGCTTTGCTCAGTATTTCAGGCATTTGAACGTTTTCTCACCTTGGTAATACAACGATTACAAGTTTTTATGTCCCAAATGTGCTCTTGCGTTTGCATCAGTTCAGAATACTTTACTGTCAGACTGCAGGTGAAAAGATCGCATTGTAGTCAGACCTTAGGGCTCAAAATTAAATGTTTTGCTGATTTATAAATTTTGCTAATTAGCTCTCTTGATAATGGCTGGTAATGTCAGGCATCATTAGAATACAGCATTCTGAATGCGGTTTCGACACATTCGTTCGTATTTATATCATATTTT